ACTCAAGTCCTGAGCGAGCAGGAGAAGCCAACGGGCCTTTCCGCCAACATATCAATAAACCATGTTGCTGAAATCAGGAACTTACAAGACGAGAATGAACGATTGAAGCAAGAGCTCATCCGAGCGAGGCAAGTGAGCCAGGCAGATAAGCTTAGCATCCCGTTCTCGGTAGACTTTTGCAATTATGCTGGGCTTATTATCGAGCCGTCGATTCTCGAACTATGGTCTTCGCATTTGTCACGAACGTCGTCCTCCCCGCCAGCTAGGATACCAGAAAAAAGGTCCAAATTTCGCTCTCGCAGTAATACGTTTGTCTTGTCCGATCTTCACGACATTCCGTGGCATGTTGCGCCGACGTGCCCAGCGGACAGGATAATGCAACCTTTCTGCGAAGAAAAACGTCGCTTAGTGCGGTCATCCAGCACATCCTCATTATCGCCAGGCCCCAGCAACATTTTAGGCCATGCCGACATCCAAGCTGCTATATCCAAGGTAGCAGCCGATGTCCTAGCTACTTATAGCGAGATTGACACTCTACCAAAGAAAGTGGCATGCCTGTACATGATCTCAAGTGTGTTGAATGTAATCACTCCCCTTTCTTTGGTCTGTTACCCACCTATATCTAATGCTTGTGGCTAACGAGTGGGCTCCAGTGGTACATTTTCCAAACACGAGATGTTTTCGAACAAATGCCGTTCTGGCTGCGTCCCTGTTCATCACAGATGGAAATTCCTCACCCCGCGTGGATGGATCGAGTGCAGTGGTAGGTATTCCCAGCTTTGTTCTCTTCGACTAGAATGACTGCGAACCGCAAGCAAAGCTGACTGCTTTTGCAGGCCAAGGGTCCGCGACTATCTTGTGCGCCATCAAGATATAACATTTGATGAATACACTGACGCCTTCTCACTTTCATTTGATGTCAATTGGCCATATGATGACGCCCTTGTAATAGTAAGGGAGGAAATCCAGAGCTCAGCAAAGGTGCGTTGGCGAATCAGCCCTGTCTTTCAAGAGCACATCCGAAATATTCGTCACTGGACCGTTGGCCCAAGGTACTGCCAATTGTATCCGCCCATGGGGAAAGCAGTCGATGAAGACAGAGAGCAATTTGGAAGGTGAGAGATTCATTCGGTGGCCTCGCAACCCAACTCCAACGTTCCAAAAGCCATTATCAATTTAAGATAGTAAAGCTACCTAAATCTTACCCTCCCAGAGCCACAGATGCCCGGCCGCCTTAACAGGCGCTAAACCCGCTCCACGAATATGGTTTAGGCAAAGTTGGCGGTGCTCTGCTGGTGCTCTGCTGCTGAGAGGAGCCCAATGACACAACTGTCAACTCTTCGCGGGGGCTCTGGCAGGGAGTTGTTTTGAGCAACTCAATCGTTGAAGTTAACACAGGGGCTTTCTTTTCTGCTACCACATGCTTATACGCTGAGATCCTATATAACGTCTAACAGGCGCTCTATTTGGCTCTCTGTTGTAACAGGTTCTAAACGCATCAAGGGAGATGCATATGTTTGTTTGGACATACAGCTTGAACCAGTACAAGGGACGGTGCAATAATGCAATACTCTCAGGCACAGAGGTGCAGCAGCACTGGTTGACAGACGGTGAAGAGTCTCAGTTCATCGGTCAAGATCCGAATCGACATCGAAGCCACTTCCGGGGAGTCTGCCCCTCGCCCGCCTTAGTTGTTCATTTATTCCAAGCAGGAGACAATCAAAGGCAAAGGGGCGGACACTCAGTGTTCATGTGTCTAGAAACGACTCCCTATAGGCTTACAAGGCTTCGTTCTATTTTAGAACTTTAATAGGGGTAGCAATTTGAGGCTCCTAAACAGCTCTACGCAAGCGCACCCACCGCACACCCGCTGCACAGGTTAAAGCAGCAGCAGCACCAGTCCGCTCTGGAAGAAGGAAACAGACGAGAACAAGGTTCGGCAGCATTTTAGTCTGTATTCCACCATTGAATTGGACGCTGAGTCAGTATACTAATGATGCAGATTGCTTATTTTACCTTCTATTAAACCATAAATGTTTGCATCTCTCCGTGCGGGGGTGCGAAAACAAGTCAATCGGCCTCCTACACACGATACAAGCCACTGCAGCGCGTCTTCGAGATACTGTGAAAGAGGATTGCAATGAAGTAGAGTTGCTTGTCATATTGAATTGTTTCGACTATTTGTTGATATCATATGGGGCTTATAGCCGAAGTTCGAAAGAGAGTGTCGGCGAAATTGGTGCTGTAATGCCGAAGGACATATTAGAAAGAGATCATCCATATAATAAAAGACGCCTGACTGCATGACGGAGCGTCGAAGCACACATATCTTGCCGAATACAAATCCAGACATCAGTATTCTGAGCCTTTAGACCAAGAGTCACGGGGAATCGAGAGGACGAAAGTCTTCAAGTCATGGTAGCCCGCGACGTCCACATCCGATCGATCGGACAGTGGTGTTCTAGTAGCTAGCCAATAATTGAACGAGAAAAGCACTGATTCATCGTGGTGGCGGGGCCAAGGGGCTAGGACAACAAGCCCCTAATCTAACTCTTCCCCCAAATTGGTCCATGCCGCAATAATGAATGATATTTGAGTCTGCCTCATAACCTTCTAGTTAAGGATATGGCACTCACTTCAGTGATCAATAGCGTGATCGTTTGAGATACGCTTAGGCGAAGAAACTAAGACTACCACATTGTTTAATGCCATACCTCCAGCCATATAACCTCCCCCACTGATCTGGAGTTAAACTAAGCGGCGCACAAGCGTTGTTAAATGACGTGGGATTTTATAAAGCTCGATCTCAGCAACATGCACCAGGTTCAGTACGAACTTGCCGCGAATTTACCAGAGCGGCAATATCTCGACTCCACGCGAAGGCCATCCAGAGCTCAAGTCATTTGGCCACAGCCATCCCTAGATTATTGTAAGTCTATAAGAGTTCAGCGGTTAGTTGAACTTTCTATCAGCTTTTAAGGGTCTTGAAGATAATGACTTGGGAATTCAACACCGGAGCGCTGTGGGACTGTTGTTGGCTCCTGATTGGTTATATAGCGAGTGGAGCCTCAACAACGTCAACAGCGTAGACTTTTCATCAGCAGCTTGCTTCCAATGACCCTCTTCACCGACGTGCTCCCAACCGATAGACATTTTCTGAGAAACACACCACCATGTCAGATCAAGACGCGACAACGCCTCGGGTATTCATTGCTCGTCATGGTCTGTATAGTCTGATGTCTGTTGGGTTGACGATGGAATGACTGACTGACTCGTATAGGCGAGACTTCGTGGACCATATCCGGTCGCTATACGGGGGTCAGTGAGATTGAGCTTACCGAAAACGGAGAAAAGCAAGTTCGGGGAACAGCTGGAAAACTTGTAGGATCAGGAAAACTGATTGACCCGGCCAATGTGGCTCGAGTTTTTGTCAGCCCGCGGAAAAGAGCGCAAAGGACTCTTGAATTGCTTTTCGGATCTGGAAATCAAGCCATACTGGAGAACGACAAGATTACTACAACAGACGAAATTGCCGAATGGGGCTATGGCGATTATGAAGGACTTCTCACTGATGAAATCCGGGCTCGTCGAAAAGAGAAGGGCCTCGATCAAGACCAGCCTTGGGACATTTGGAGGGACGGCTGTGAGGGCGGCGAGTAGGTCATCATTGCTATCTATCCTCTTGCTGTTAAGCTAAAGGATGTGACAAGATCTTCACAGCAAGTTGCACAGCGACTCGATGGTCTCATAGAGAAGATATATAATATCCAGAGACCGAACATGCACGGAGAGGCAAAGGCTGACATTGTCCTGGTGCGTTTCCTTCTTCCGAGGCACTGCAGTTACACATACTTACCTTGGTAAATTACCTTTTAGGTGGCTCACGGACATATCCTTCGAGCGTTTGTCAAACGTTGGCTGAAGTACTCTATGGAAACGCCAATCCCCTTGATGATGTCACCTGGGGCGATTGGAGTTTTGAGGTATGGGTTCATATTATCAATGCCAAATGTATTGTGTCCTGAAGAGATTGTTCTAACATCCACTTTAGTTATGAAAAGCATAAGTTAGAGAAACCAGCATTACTGATTGGTATGTCTCTCCCGTAAAACTCAGGTTGGGTACCTTCGGTATTTAGAGCATCAACAATGTCCGTGGGATAGACAATCCCCAAGTTGTTTCCACATGCGCATCGAATTAGCTACATAGATCTCCATCTTCTTAGACTATAGATTATTCTCTAGAGAGCCTACTGTTGGTGCCTGTGTTGGATGGATTAGTTGAGACGCCTGCAATTAGACTCGATCCAGCAGGGAACAAAGTGCTCTCCATCGTAGAAGTTGCCATTGCTAAAGGAGTTGGACTTTTCGATACGGTTTGGAGGATTTGTCAATGGTGGCCGTCAATGTCATATGGCATCGATCGTGCCCCTGCCGCAGAATTCGGCTCAAAAGGCACAAGAAATGGTTAAAGCCACTTATTTGAGAGCAATATGCCCTTTTAGTTTTGATTGTCCTACAAACTTTGTGGCTTGATGGAAGTGGTTGACGAGCTGCAAGAGAACACCATGTCGTGCTATCTAGTCCCATATCCAACTAACATATTTCAGCCAGCCAGCCTTCTTGATCTCTGGCTCATCAGGGGTGTTATCAGCCTGTATAAATGCTTCGTCAAGTGCTATAGCAGAGAGAGAGACCATGCTAGTCTTCTTGACAAATTTCCAAATTAGGTACGCGCCAAGGACCAGAGGGATATCCCTGAAACATTACGTATTAGCTACTGACTGATTGTGGTAAGCTTAGAGCGAATGACTTACAGGTAAGCAGAGACAAAAGATGCTGGGTCCCAGTTGCCCGTGGTGAACACAGCAAACCCACTAGTCAGAAGTATGAGCAGACACATGAAAAGTGCAGCGCTTGACGTGTAGGCTGTAGCATATTAGAGTTAGTACGGAAAATTCCACCTAGCATCTCTCGGGTATCAACTCACGGGTCCAGCTATTATACCAGGGAAGCCTGTTCGTAGGGATTCCTTGTCTTCTCATAGCCATCCGCAATCGAATATGATTTAGTAGGATCGCCGACCACGAAACCAGAACGCCCGCAGCGGTAAGGTCCACCAGCCACCAGAAGACAGTCATCGCACTGTCAGCCAGAGTCATGAAGCTCAACAACATAAATATACCGAAAAAGCCAACGCATACATAGGGGGTTCCCCAGCGCGTCGTCCTGAGGAATATTTTGGGGGCCTGTCCTTTGAGAGCCAGACCATAGAGAACACGCGTACCCGCCAGCAGACTCTGATTACCAGCACTCCATGCACTTGTGATGACGACCGCATTTACAACGCTAGCGATGGCTGGATACCCGGCAGCGCTGGCGGCAATGACGAAAGGACTCTGCGCTGAAGTGTAGCCACTACCATCGAGGCGTTCGTCATCACTACGTACTAGCATGCCGACTATCAGCACAGCGAGAATGTAGAAGAGTAAAACTCGAGCAAAGACACGTTTGCATGCGCGTGGTATGGCGCGGCGCGGCGAGCAAGTTTCAGCAGCCGCCATAGCAAGCGACTCGACACCCGCGAAAGAAAAAACGGCGCTGGTCAGCACGCCCCAAAATCCGAGGAATTTGCCCAAGTTTCCAGATGCAATGTACTCGACAAAGGGTCCGGGATTATTCCAGTACGAAAACCCGATTCGTGGTGAACCCGGGGTACCACCTAGGTTGATAACCAACCCCAGAATAATGAGAAAGACCACTAGAGCGATTTTGAGCGCGGCGAACACGAATTCGACTTCACCAAAGATGCGGACGAGGGAGAAGCCCACTGTTAGGGTAAGTATGATGAATACAACGATCCACACAATGGGATTTATGTCGGTCCAAAACTCGAAGAGTACACAGATGGCCGTGATCTCGGACGGGATTGATAGGAGGTTACCATAGACGAGGTTCCAACCGATGGCGAAACCGAGGGCTGGGTCGACAAGGAACTCGGCATGTCGTACGAAAGAACCTGTCACTGGCAACAATGCCGAAACCTCACCAAGTGCGAACTGCACGGCACACACCACCAGGCCGACCACGGTGTATCCGAGGAGTGCGCCAAGCGGACCGCCTGTTTGCACCGCGCCGCCGAGGCCGAGAAAAAGCCCCGTTCCAATTGATCCTGCGATTCCCAACATGGACAAGTGGCGCTGCTTCAGGCCACGCTGCAAGGCCTGCGTTTCCAAAACCGTGACAAGGTCACCATCGTGGTCCGTCAGGATCTTAGAGTGTTGTGAAACATCATCGCCATCGAGACGAGCAGGTTCGATCTCGGGGTGGTAAGCTTCGGAGGCGGTGCCCTGGCCTTCATTGTGAAAGTCGGAGGACGACATCGAGCCGCTTCCTGTAGACTATGATTTCTTTGACTGAGGTGTGACGCGTGACGTTTTGGCGATGAGTTCTTATCTTCAACAACACGCCGTAAATGACAAGCGTGGTGCTTGAAGGGCAAATGACCAGTCAAACACGTCTACCAGAACATCTGAATGCGTTTACCCCGTTGCAAATTCATCTACACAATCAGTAGAAGAAAGAGCAGGATGGTTTTGAGAAAATTTGATCTTTTCTCGCCCATATGGCGACATCGCGGGTGATGCCGCTGTGGGGTACCAAGAAAGCACAGCAGTGGTTGCACTAAGTATCGATATCTCACTTGTGGCGTACAGAACGTGGAAAAGCTTGTTCAGGTGCCCCACAACTCGACCGAGCTGTCTTTTCCTGTATAAGCAGGTCGAGAACGCAGTGGGGATGTAAGGTCTAGATTGCGTGGTCTGAAAGATTGTGTCATATCTTTGATACAGACCTCCATCAAGCCCCATTACATAGTCCAGTTTGATTTGAGGGGCTATTAAGTGTACTTGACTTCTACACTGTAGCGGAAACGTTTCCGTAAACGCCACCCAAGCAGGTGATAACCATCCCGCCGGTCGATGTCTTATATCTGTGACGGACCGTAGAGCG